ATGGTTGGAGGGCGGAGCGATTATGCCATTGGTGGACTCAGCTCATCAGCAAGCTGGGGGTTGTGGTTGGGACCACCTCTAGCGCTCTTCCACTACGGCTCACTGGTATCATCGAAGATGAACCTTCTTCCTGGCTGTCGTGTTCACTGCCCTTAAGTCAGCGGATTCAGCAATGTCCTTTAAGATGTCATAAACCGATTTCGAGGCTACATATAGTATGATTCCTTAGGTACTTATGAGAGTGAATTATTCTACGAATGACACCATCTCGCAGGGTATTCTGGGCAGCCTCCAAACATGAACCTTGCATCCTCTATAAGCAAACGAGGTGCCACGCCACTACTACAGAGCAAAACTCCTAACGATATGTAAAAACCATTAGGACAAACACAACACGATAACGTCACACGCACATATGTCATCACTGAAAGTCATGGTTAGAAATGAAAACGATGTACCAGTGAGAATGTAGAAATAGAGGTAGAGAGATGAAAAAGGCAATTCTGTAACTACAAAAAGTCATATGTAAAAGAGGTTCCGCTTCTCTCTCAATTGCCTGGCGGTTAACTCTCCTTCTCGTCTCCTGAAGGCTTGCTCTCTTTGGTTTTCTCCTCCTTGTTTGGCGACCTGCTCTGCTCGCTACGTGGCGATTTGTTCTCAAAAGCGCTTCTCCCACTGCCCGAAGGTTTCATCTCGGTGATGTCGTTCTCGCAAATTGGCGTTTGGCTTTCCACGGTGTCATTAGCGCTGTAAATTGATACGGCTGTCGAATTCCGATTTTCATTGTTCCGGATGGCACTCGTGGTATGTCTGAAAAAATGAGTTATAATTCAAAATCTCTCCTCTTACAGAATATCTGAAGGTGTCACCGCGTAGTTCATGTAGATGCTATTACCTATGAGATAGCTACGTGGTAATCGATTTGCTCAACGGGTCGCAACCAGATCTTCAGAGCACTTCAGCCCGCAAGTGAGACAGCAGAGCCCCCAGGCGCAGAGTCCTGATACTAACACGACTCGAAAATGCGCGATGAAGACACTGATGCCTCCGTAACCGCTAAAACCGTTTTTACTTTTCCCAGCAAACGCATGTCTGCAACCTCCCGTACGCCGTGCTCTCTTGCGTATCTTTCCGGTACAGGTGTGTTTTATCGCTCCGCTGTACCACAATCGAGCTCACGAGAAAAAGGAGCGCTCAAAAGTAACCTACGGTTTCCCTTTTTTCTCATTGGCGAACATTTTCACACTTTATGTTTCATCTTCAAATTCTGACGCCTCAATTCGATCGCCACCGATGCTTCTGAACCACCTTTGATTTCAAAACTGGCTCGAGCGCGCGTGACAGCGATCAAGTCATAAAAACTGAATGGGTACGACCACTTTAGCAGCGCGCAATAATATCGTAAAAATGGTGAAGAGATTGAGCTTGAGCATCACTTTCCGCAATTGAAAGGTATGCCTCCATCTGGTCAGCAGCGGCAGCAGACTAAGTTGTGGTTCTTTCAGTCAGAAAAATCAATCCTTCCAAAGCCACAACAATCAACTGTCAAATGTTAAGATATTGAACTTCCATCATGCCATTAACCAATTGCAAATTCAAAAGAAAAATTCTATAAAGAATCACAAAACGCACCTGCCAATAATCGGGCTTGGTCTCAAGATTCC